TGCCCAAGTGCCTGGTGCTAGGAGCCTGCCTGTGACCAGATGCAAGGGGAGAGGACATCAAGCCACAGTTGCTCTTCATCAAGTACAGGATAAGATATGACACAATATGGTTGATTTTATTTCATATTCGTCTTGACTGGTTTAACACCTACTATTATTTTCCTTGATCATTATAGAGAAAAAGTTGTCTGAAAACAAAAACTAAATTCACCCAACTCTGGATAAAAACACAATTCCAAATCATTAGACATGACTAAAAATATAACTCTGTTGGCCAAGTAATGTATTTTGTTCCCAATAAAGAAATTTCCTTTCAAGCTTTAAGGAGTTAAATGACTTTTCTCCAACCACAAGGAAGTGACATAAACAAAAGAGATACTATTTCATGTAATAGAAGCCACAGCACTCATTACAAATGTCTGCAATGGAGAATATTCAATAAATATCTTTTAGCATAATGTTTGGCGTATAGAAAATGCTTAATAAAAATGAATCCGATTTTTTTATGTTTCTTTTGAGTGGATTATCTTAACTTCTTCATAACTGAATTTTATGTAGCTGTTTTTGATGAACATGTCTTTTCTCAATTGCAAATTCTAATTTTAATTTCTGATTCATACCCCATAAATTCTTCAACCATTGTCAACAAAGTGGTGTGATACCTGCCCTTATGATAGGATTTAAAACTCAGGGTTACTATGAAACTTAAAAATGAAATATTTTCTTACAACATGATCAACAACATTTGGGGCTATTTAAAGATTCAACAGGTAAAGAAAATAACATAAAATGGTCAGTGTTTACAGTGTAGTTTTGCCTTCCATGCATATATACTTTATTAAATCTCTTTAGTTCTGAAAACTAGATGTTGAATTAAAGTGCCCACTTAAGTAATATTGGCTTTATTCTTTTCTGGATGCACCTTGATTAATGAAAACACTGGGAAAAATCATCTCTTTACCTAACTACTATAAAAACAGCATTCTGTCTCACCTAAGGTTCTCAAAATATGCTATTGAAATAGAAATATGGCCTCGTTCCCATTACCAACTATTGTCAAGTTATGAAAAATGTAATCATTACAATACATTATTATATTTAAGTATAAAAGCTCTGGATTGCAATCTTTGTCACTGAGTGGCAGATTTAAAACGAAGAGTAATATTCCAGATCTCTTTGGAAAACTTAAAACTTAAAAACAATTTTACCTAATGATGAACAATGAGAAAAAGCATTATAGAATACATTTTGAGTATGCTACGAAGAAAATGAACATAATACAGAATTAAATTTAGAGCAATTAAGAGTAGATTTTGAAGATATTTTCCTAAATGCTTTAATATAGTCATCATTTCAGTTTGCAGTTTTAATGAAAAGAAGCTATATGCACTGACTTTTTTGACAGGTATTATTGAATAAGTATGCATTATCCAGCAGCCTATTTGATTACACAAAAGTTGAGGTGGATCTACGAGTAAACACAAATGTAGTTTTAGTGATATTTTTGTACAGAAATACACTTTGATGGCAAATGTTGTAACATGCTAAATTCTGAGGTTTGAATATGATAGAAACCATACTGTGTGAGACATTCCACCTACAGTTTGTGGTCATGAAGTCTGATTAAAAGTAGTTTGAGACATGAAAGTATTTTAGGCCAGTGCCTTCTGTTTCAAATATATTTTGTAGCCTATTTCACTGGATAAAATACCAGCATGCAATTATAGTTTCATATCTAAATTGCATCTGAAAGAAACATTAAATGACATTTTGAATGGCTCTATATAATTAATGATTATATTTCTTTATCCATTCCAAAAAGGTGGTCTCTAGCCCATCCTTAATATCAGTTGTAACTCATCTGAGTGAACCAGAACAAAGTTTCTAAAGTAGTGTAGTAATCAGATATGAAAATAAAATCCTAGCTATATTTTTTTTCAGAAGCACTTGAGAAAAACAATAATCATACATAGAAGGTGAGACACTGGCAATTATTACAGAAAAAAAATTGTCCACATTGAATGCAAGCAACATCTGAATAGATTCAGACTAGCTGATGTGTGCTGGCTGATACCAAACGCTTTTTTCTGCAGAGTATGGTCGGCAGGGATAGTTCAGCTTTATCTTTCCATTGGAAGTAGCGGTTGCCTCAAGTAGCCCTAATCAGTGGACTCTTCAAGACACCAAAGCATGTATTTTGTTAGTTCATTTCCTGCTTAGTCAACTAAGAAATGGATGGGAAACAAGATTTATGGAGCATTTACGCTAAACTCTGTACTCTGTACTGCACATACATTATTTTATATAATTCTCACAGTGAACCTGACAGAAAGTATTATCTCCATTTTATAGATGAAAAATCAAACTCCAAGAAGTTTATGTGAATTTCTCATGTGTAGTAAAGAGCACATTCAGCATTTAAATACAGGGTTATCTGAATCTAGACTCCACATTCTTTTCCTTTCTTCCATGCTACCATCAGTGCCAATACAATAAAGTTACTTATTACTAAGTAAAAGTTTATCTTTTAAAAATTCTATGTATGAATTTTCCCAGAAGAAGTTATCACATAATTTTATATAGCATACATCAACTTGTTACTTCTAAAGACTTGACATAATGGTTTTCCCTATTAAGTTTTTATTCTACAGACATTTACCATGTACTTATATATGTCTACTGCTCTGGGCACCAGGATACAGCAGTGAGCAAAATGAAAATGGCACATACCCTTGTGAAGCATGCACTGTAGTGAAAATACATAAGCTAAATCATGACAAGAAATATAAAAATTATAATGTGTAAGTGCTGTTAAGGAAAAAGGAAAGGTGAAAAGTAAAACAATAGGGGCTGAGGTTGTGGCTCAGAGGTAGAGCACTTGTCTAGCACGTGAGAGGAGCTGGGTTTTATCCTCAGCACCACATAAAAATAAATAAAATAAGGTTATTGTGTCCAACTACAACTAAAAAAAAATTAAAAAAAATCCTAGCTATCTTTTAAAAAAAATAGTTAAACAATAATAAGCCACCAAAATGGGGAGGAATGAGAAGACTGGGGTCCAGGTTTTCTGTCTGCTAGCCCATGGTTTCTGTCAATACATTTATTGAGGTGTTGGGGTTGGGAGTAGGAGTGGAAGAAATAATTCAAAGCTCTCTCTAAGCTGGGCAAGATGGCATAGGCCTATCATTCCAGTGGCTCAGGAGGCTGAGATAGGAGGATTGCAAGTTTGAGGCCAGGCTCAATAACTCGTTGAGGTTCTAAGCAATTTAATGAGATCCTATCTCAGAATAAAATCAAAAGGACTGAGGATGTAGAATGTATCTCAGTGGTAAAGTGTCCTGGGTTCAAGGCCCAATACCAAAAAAAAAAAAAAAAACTCTGAGTAGACAAAGAGGAATAATGAGGGGAAGGAGGAGGAGACAGAAAGGGGAAATATTAGGAACTGAAGTGGAACAAATTATATTCCATGTTTGTGTGATTATGTCAAAATGAACCCCAATATTATATGTAACTATGATATACTAATAAATAAGTAAAAAAAAAAAAAAAAACCCTCAGTCTTGAGTTTGGACGGCTGAGCTTATGAAGAGATGGTGAATCCAGAAGGGGAAGTAAATTGAAAAGTAAAGATAATGAGGTTGAGCTTTGGAGATTTTTCTATTCCTAGGACATTTTGATGGATGTAGGACTGCAGAACATCCATTGGGTATCTGGAGACAGAAAGAAAGAATGGGATCTAGATTTAGGAATTACAAACACATGGTAGAAAAAAATTGGGCTGGCCTCTGCTGGATGTGAAGGTGAGAAAAAAAAATTAACTAGTCCCTACTGAAATCAGTAGCTAAAATAAGTTAGTCAACATTTCTCAGAGTGTATGCCTCCAAAACCTAGTTCTCAAGAATCATAGTGTTAAAATAAACAGAAAAACAAATGGTTCTGTCAGCCATAGGATGGGAAAGCAGGTTAAACAAAGGTTTAAATCGTTTCTTAGGCTCCTTCCCAAACATACTAGGCCACTGAACTTTTCTCGAAGGAGTATTTTACAGGATTGCTCTTCTGACTAATATGTACTGGTAAACACTAGGCCATATACTGCCTTGTAATTGAAGATGTTCATTCCTTTTTGGTGGGCACGCTGGAGTGCGAGCTGAAGTTCAATCAAGAAAAGACTGAAATGCAAAGAGTGAAAGATATTGCATTTACTTTTGGTGGGATTGACAGGTAGGAAGAGAACAGTGCTAGAATGGAAGCTGTTGGGGACAGCTCATGAGAAGAAAGACAGAATTTACAGATTGAGATGAATTGAGGAGGGAATGATTGCAGGCAGAGAGATCCTCTAGGACAGGAAGCTGCGAGGCTGGCTGAAAATGAAATGATAAGGGCACAGCACGAGTGATTGAGTCGCCTGGGAAATAGACAAGTGTGAACTTGAGAAATATTTTGAGGGAAGGAATTATGGGATTGTTGGTAGATTAGATTAAAGAAGAAAAAGTCAAAAATAACAATACGGTTTCTGGCCTGAGAAGAGAAAATAGATAAGCAAAAGAATAAAAATCCTCACAGTATTATGGCTAAAGTACTTCCCAATGCCTTGATGGATTTCTAGAAAACAAAATACAACTTTAAGAACACAGTCAAGGTTTACAGTGTTTTCAATGAAGTGGCATGAGACTGAACAATAAGGAAAATGTTAAGATATATGAGCAGTTCTCTAATCACCTTCATTAAGTTGCTGTATGTTAAATCTTACATTTATAGTTTCATGTTCTGCAACAAGCTAGGAATGTCACATTTTAAAATTCTAAACAGAAATTCGATTTATTTGCTTTCTCTCCAAATGCGTTAGTGCCCAAAGCTCTGACAATTACACACCATTTTTTTCTAAAGAAAAGACAACTGTAAACACAGATAGACCACACACACACACACACACACACACACAAAATGCACGTGTACTTTTTCTTAAAAAGAAAAAAATTTGCCTGCTATCTTTTTTCCAGGTGACATTTACAAAGAGGAAATTTGGGTTGATGAAGAAAGCTTATGAGCTGAGCGTGCTGTGCGACTGTGAGATTGCACTGATCATCTTCAACAGCACCAACAAGCTGTTCCAGTACGCCAGCACCGACATGGACAAGGTGCTGCTCAAGTACACGGAGTACAACGAGCCGCATGAGAGCCGGACAAACTCAGATATCGTGGAGGTGAGAGAGCGAGCTTCTGAGCCCCAGGCTTTGGCAGAGGATTGTGGGGTGTGGGTCTCCTCCACCATACACACACCCCCTTTTGCCTAATCTGTTCACGGTCTCATAGATATCTACTCAATTATTTCCCTCCCAGTGTCCTCAAAGTGCAAGTTAAAGTGATAGGACAGGGACAAGGTAGAATCTTGCCTTTGTTGGAAATCAAGTTCCAGGGTCAAATTGATCACCTTATCCTTCATGAGTGATCACTGTCCACTGCTCTGTATCAGGACTCCAGAGTCAGAAACTGGTTAGGGGCAGCTCATCCACATTTTACATAACTTCTGATGATTTGAGTATGTAATAGTTCCAAACATAGTCTTAAGAAAAAACAAAAAGTTTTAAAAAATGTTTTGAAAATGAACTCACTCCAACCTTATACTTTGAATTTTTCACTTCTAATTCATTTTTTTCATATTCATTCTTTCCAGAAATATAAAGACAATTATTCTCCTAAAAAAATTTTTTTTCCTAAAAATTGTATCATTTTGCTTAGCAGTGAAATATGTTGCATGGAATCAGAAAACAGCTGAATATGAATTTCTAAATGTTAGTTCCATGTTTTAACAAAGTCAGATTTAAAGCATTGGTTGTGACAAAAATAAATGAGCATCATGTTATAACTCTCAAAAATGTTTTAGATTTGCTAGGCTGAGTCATATACCAAACAATTTTAATCTAAATTTTATCCCATTTAAATGTTGTGGGCTGGCAGTGCCTTTCATGAGGGATGACCCCTAGGCCAAAGAGAGAATGTGTAATGAAGATGGCTCTCATCTTCCTGGCCTGTTTGTCTGCTCTTGGTTTACTAGTTTGTGCCTGCTTTCCCAGAATTTCCCAGAATTAAATGAATATAATGTTTCAGAAGTATGTTCAGTCACTCTTGCTGTGGCTGAGGCTGGAGGCTGGTTCCGTATTACGGGAAAAAAAAAACCACCTAGGACTAATTCTGATCAAATTAATATGCCTCCCACATCCACCTCTCTTTTATATCTACTTGTCATAATTGTCTAAGACTAATTCTCATTTCTTTGCTTTTATGTGAGAGTTTTTCTGAAGTGTTGAGCTGATTGATTTTTAAATTTTATTTTTTTAACATTTTTTGTCCTGATAAAGCTAAGCAAATAATTTCAGTAAAAGAGAAGTGAATAAAAAAAATATTTAAAAAAAAGAATTTAAAAAAAAAGAGAAGTGAATAACTGGACCTTCAATGGCATGTGCTTAAGATGCTACACATCATTTAGTTTCCTATTGACTGATGATTTGAATTGTGTGCTTGCCTTGATCATCCAATTTAAGGTTGCTTTGTAAATTTACCTGCATTTCAGAGTTTTAATTCACACACACCTAAACGTGAAAATACATGAACAAACACAAAGTTTGAAAGGTACTAGTAGTTGTCAGACCTCAGAGGTGTATGTGTGTGTGTGTGTGGGCACACACATTTATAACATTTTCTCAAAACAAAACAGCCTATTATGCCCTGTCATTACTAAAACCATCACAATAGAAATTTCAGGTTAACAAACAATTTGAGCTGGAATTTGTCATTAAACTATTTCAGTTCTTAATGTGCCATGAAATGCAGTAAATTTATAATGAACCAATTGGAAAATGGGTTGACTATTAAAATTTGTTCCACGAAGGAGTTTAAAATCTAGAAAAATCATCTTCTGAGGGTTTTGCTTAGAAATATACTCTGTGACTTAAAGATGACTTAAAATTTTTACTGTATGAGATTTTCATATTCCTGTACATGTGGATATCTGAGAGTCAAATAAGATCTTAAGGGCCAGTGAGAATGGTACTGAGTCAAGTGTCAGAGGTCTTGCATTTGACTGTCTGTCAGCATCATGCTGTGTGGCAGTTAACCTCTCTGGGCTGATATTTTCTCATGTCAAAAGTGAAGAGAGCCAGGGATTGAAATTTAGTAACTCAGTGGTAGAGTTCCTGCGTAGCATGCATGAGACTCTTGGCTCAATCCCAAGCACCAAAAATTAAACAAATAAGTAAACAGATATTGAATCTGAAAACTCTTTGCAACATCATCATCACCATCATTTTTATTACTGTTATTGTTATTATTATTTAATATCAGAGATTAAACCCAGTGGCACTTTACTCCTGAGCTACACCCCAATCCTTTTCCTTTTTGAAATTTTATTTTGAGATAGGGTCTCACTAAGTTGCCCAGGCTGACCTCCAATTTGCAATTCATCTGCTATAGCCTCCTGAGTTGCTGGTATTACAGGCATGTGCTACTGTGTCTGGCTAAAATTTTTTAAAAGCATTATTTTTAGAAAGACTAAAGCAGCAGCTCCATTTTTTCTTTCAGTTTTTATTTCTTCTCTTCTTCTTTGTTTTTGTTTGTTTGTTTATTTTTTGCATTTAACATCAGTAGATTAAAATTATGAATCTCTCAACACAACATCCTGGAGCTGAGGATGTAGCTTAGCGGTATAGCACTTGCCTAGCACACACCAAGTTCTTTGTTTAATCCCCAGCACTACAAAACAAACAAACAACAACAACAAACAAACAAACAAAAACAACCCACAACATTCTGGGACTCCTTGATCAAAATTAAAAGATTCAATGGCTCAATTCTCTGGATGAACATCATGTGCACATCTAATACATTGTGAGTCTGCCCTCCTCAACTGCCTGAATCACACATTCTTCACATAGCTGCCTTTCCATATTTTAGTAATGACAGAGATGATGAAGAAAGGAGTAAAGCAAGCTTGATTAAATTTTATAGCACCCTCACACGGAGTGTTTTTCAAAGGGATGATCATTGAAGTCAGAATGCTTGAGATACTTGGTGGAGAAGAAGCGCTTTGGGTGGAAAGTTGTGTTTATAACAAGTTCTTCAAGTAATTCTTGGACACAGTAAGTTTGAAAACCTCTGAAACACCAAAATATAACTTGTATGAGAAGCTAAGAACCCGCAATACATCAGGGACTGGAGAAATCCCATTTTAGAATGGATCTAACAAATTTGAAAGTTAAGATAGCTTACTACTCCTGGGTCAAATTTTAAATCCTATTTATTTTAATTTAATGGAATACATTTAACTGAGCAAGTTTAATGAGGAGCATAATATGTTTCATGAAGGGTCATTAGTTTTATATTTCCCATTTGGACCATTACCTCTCTCCCCAAACCCTCTAAAAACAGTTTACTCACAAGAAGAAAAAAAAAAAAAAGAGGTGGGGGTATAGGGAGAAATAATATGATTTCCAGCATTTAGACTGAAATACAAATCTCTGGGCCATACCAGAGTAGTGTTATAGGGTCATAGGAAGTGGTGCGGCGTGTGGGCGTTGAAAAAGATTCCTCCTTTTAGCAAAAACGCTCTGTGTAATTATCATGTCTTTGCTGGATAATTAGTACTACTGTTACAGTGGCACAAAGATTCACAAAGCCTTAATAGACAAACTGTGTTAGGCTTTTTCATTATTATATTATAATGCAGCTTGAATATCTGTTTAGATACAATATATAAATATGCCAGATTTAGTAAATGTGTTAAATTTCTAATCCTTTGGTTTATTTAAAAAAAAAAAACAGTTATTGTATTAAAAGCACTGCCTTTGAAGGCAGTCCATTTTATTTAACTGCCTGACACATACCCCGGAAATTTATCCAAAATGATAGTTATGAGGCTGTTTGAAACTCAGTTGTGATTCTAAGGAAGGAAATGCCCACTTCCTCACTTCCAGTGACTAGCTCTACTCCCATTCTCTAAACCACCTAGGAGAGATTACCCTAGCAGTTTCTTTAGGGCTCTGTTCTTGGAAGAAGATGGGGTTGTTGAGCATTTTAGGATGGATGACCTGAAGAGAGCAGATCACACAGGACTCCTTAACAGGCCAGTGCTTCATTGAGCAGTGACTCAGCATGCTCAGCACTGTTTGGGTGATTCTGAAATAGCAGAAGATAGGAATTCTTGTTAAAGATGTAAAACATATATGCAAGAAAGGTTGGAGGCAACTGGAAAGCAAAGAAACAAAAGCCTTAGCACAATCTATGGTGCTGAAATGAAAGGGTAGGTTAAACAATTCAACAAAACTTTCAGACAGTATGTGTTTGGTTAGCATATTCCAGGTGCTCCTTGAAGTCCCAGACAGGTCACCCTGCTATCCAGCATAATGAGTGTATCACTTGATGCCTAAGCAGGAAGGAACCTCTCACCCCTCAGTAACTCAGTGAATTCTACTGAGCTGCTCATCCATCCGGAACCAGGAGTCCAGTGATTATCTTCTGTGAAAGGGGGTCAAAACACAGGCCCTTCTTTGCTCCTCAGGAAGTATGAAGGTGGATGTAACTCTTGCAGAAGGAACCTTTGATGCACACCTGTCTCAAGAGAGGATTATTAGTTTTTATTTTTAAGTGCAAGGAAGGGCGAGTATGGTGTTGAGGTGGGAAGATTGAGATTACATTTGCCTTAAACTTTATTTTTTGCCATCTGAATTCTGTTTGGATTCAGAAACATCTAAAAACCGTTATTGCACAAAATGTTTCCTTTCATGTTAATAGTTATGAACTAAATTGGACTTAAAAGGCCTTAAAATAGGTTATAATCTTTATTGCTTCAGAGTGCTACTGGAAGTTATCAACAAGCTAACTGTCCTTGCATATAGTTTGGTGAAAATAGTTGAATGCAATTTTTGTTGCAAAGCAAATGCCTCATTTGTAGAATTGGATTTACTTTACAAATTAAATATTACAAAATTTGGGAATGGATGTAAGATGACAAAATTTATATTTTACTTGAGCTTTTATTATATCTTAACCAATTAAATTGATTCCAGTTTTATAATTATAAATATATACTCATAAAATCATTTTTCTGTCCCATATAGGAAACCACAGATATTCTTCTTAAACAGAAAAGCATATTCTCTTATTTAGTCCTTTATGTTTCTTCATCCTTTCAGTCATTCACTGAACAAAGATTTTTTGAGCTCTTAACTTGTGCTACATGTTATTTTACTCCCATCAATTCCCACCCACCTCTCCAATTCTGTATGTAAGACACATTAGATATATTTATACCCTCCAGCCTCTCCACATTCTGCTATGTCTTTGAAATTTTACCAGGTCTTTCCATGGCTTCTACTTATCCCTCTTTCAAGTTGTGTTCTAGTTAACGCCTTTAGGAAGTCATTTTTTAAAACCCTCAATATTGTATTAGGTGCTTTCTTCTATTTCAGTAATAATGTGTTCTGTCTTCCCCTCAGACCTCTGTTCAAGTTGTTAATTCAGTTGCTGGTTCTACATTATACTATAAACTCGTGAGGGGTACAGATGGTATGCATTTTGTTCATCATCACATTCCCAGTGAGGTCTAGAGTGTAGGTCCTCAGAGCATATTTAATAGAATAATAAGCGGGAGACAGACACGTAACCAACATAGCACCATGTTACTCATTTAAAATTTGAAGAAAGTTTTCATAGGTCCAATGAAAAAGTTCATTGAAATTGGAAAGAATTTATCAAAGGATTGTCAAAAACAATTTCCATCTGTGTTGTCCCATGTGGTAATCACTATCCACATGTGGGTCTGCATGTAAATGAATAAGAATTAAGTAAAATGTCCAGTTCAAGTCCTCAGTAGCACTAGCTACTTTTTAGGTGACTTGTGGCTACTGAATTGAACAGGAAAGATATGGAACCCATGGGTCATCCCAGAAGTTCTATGAGATAAAACTGTTCCAAGACTGAAATGTGAAAGGGGAGACATATAAACTAATCTTTTTCTCAAATTAATGACAAGATTAATTATTTAGCTAATTTTATTCTTCATATAAAATATGAGGAGTACATTTCCTTTGTGAAAAATTGAGTGGCCTTATCACTTTAGATCCAAAGTACAAATGTTCACTTTGAGACACCAATTTAGAACTAAACATTCGTTACAAAACTAAAAGTACGTCTTACTCCTAACCTTGCAACTATAGAGTCAATCAGTAAACTCACTATCTGGTCAGCAAACACCTGTAAGCTTTCCAGGCTGACCAGGATCCTTGACCATCAGCCCCGCCGTGTAAGCTAGGTAGTGTGAGCTGGATTGTTTCTTTGTTTAATTTGGAACTCATGAACAGAGAAATGATAAATCTTTCTTGTTACTATCTTAAATTTACTTGAAGCAACATTGGACCCAGAATTTAACTTTATAATAAGTAACTTAATTTCTCAGGAAAACAGTCTATTTCTTTGTGAAAGAATTTAGAGAGATAATATTCTTGAAATGCATTACAAATTCTTCTTAGGTTTACTTTAAAATATAATTGAAATGGTTCTTACTGCTAATGAGTCAGCAAGCCTGCTTTGTCCTCTGTTAAATCAAGGATATAATTGCTCTTTAATTGATAGTTTGAAAAATGAACAGATTATTAGTATATTCCATAAAGATTTAAACCTTCAGTGTTGAGGCTTCCAAGGACAAGGGTAAAAACATGATTTTGGAAAAAAAAAATTTTGCATATTTTTCATTGTTGTTTATATATCTGTAAATATTTCTACCAATACCTGTAAGGCATATTTGCATTGGTTCCCAAAGTCTAAAAGGACAAATGAGACTAAAACTTTTTAAATGTATTCATGTTTCTCAAAAGTATATCACATGATTTTATATATGAAATTTGAAGAACTATTTCTGTTTAAAATAATGTTCTTACTTAATTTGCATATGTAAACATAAAAAGCTGCTTCAAATATCATTTATTAAGAAAATAATCATTACTGAACAATAGTGTGCATATTAGATTGCTTAAGTCATATGTACAAGGCAACAAAATGAACTTCTCTCATATCTCCAGTACTGCATAGCTCTAATGGTTTGTAGGCATTAGTACTAACACAGTCAACAGAAAATTATTTAATAGTAGGAATAGAAAATGCAAACCTCTATCAGTAATGTAACTTCTTTACCAGTATTATTATTTTATATGAGCCTTCTTGAGATAGAGCAAACCAAGGTCCTCATGTGTTTGTTTCCCCAGTAATACCTGAAAGTGAAAAGGGGAAAAAACATTAAGCTTAGAACAGAATTGTCAATTTTTAGTCATATTTATAGATTTCACAGCATCTATAACTCCTGGTGTAGCAGCATATTGGAACCTAAGGTTGCATCCTAGTCATCCATAGCACCTTAAATAAATTAATAACATTGTTTGGTTTTAACAGGTATCAAATAAAGTATGAAAGATTAGAGCATTCTTACTTCCTCAAGATTTGTTACTGAGTATATAATGAAATAGTCAAAAGTGAAGATTTAGTAATTTTTTTTAGTCCTTCCTAGAGTCAGAATAAAAGAAATGGCTCTTACAACATCAAAGGAATGTTTATTATTTCTGTTTCTTCACTGTATTGCTGGATTTTTGGCTTGGTTTTGTTTTGGTTTGTTTTTAAATTACGAACCTCTTTTCCTATAGTCAAACGAATCCATAGGACATTCTGGAAGAGACTTGATAAAACTCACAACAGAGTAGGAGGATAGATTTTATTACTGTGAATACATCCTGTTTTACCACTAGCTACTTGGCATATCATCTAATCAGACTCCTCCACGGTGTTGTATTCTGTGCTACCTTAAAATTTAACCATATGATGGAAGTTCTGCATAAGAGAAAAAATTCTCTGTCAATTATTTCTAAAGGTCATAGAGTTAATGACTAACTGGGAGGTTAATTAGATTCTGAAAGCCTCTTCATATCAATTAAATCTCTTATCTTTATGTTTTAGTAAATAAACTCAGTAACTATTTAGAGCTACTGTTCTAGAATAAGAAACATTATAAACAGTAAGCTGTACAATGGGTATTTGGTTTATTCTTACATCTTAAAAATTTACAAGAAAATTGATATATGAATTAATAATAGTAACTCCTCTTCCACCGCTTCTGAATTAGATACATTTGTTTTCCAAAATAGCATGCAGATTACTACTTAGTCATAAACAAATAGCATTACATTTCCCCAAGGAAACCATGTTATAGAAAAACTGAGGTTAGAGTTACCCTGAGCATAAACTACTAAGCTAAAACCAACTCCATTCTTTTTCTCTTTTTTGTTTGAAAACTGAACCTCTTTTTTTGTTTTGTTTTGTTTTGTTTTGTTTTTTTTCGATGCAGGGAATTGAACCCAGGGCCTTGGATATGCTGGGCAAGTGCTATAACACTGATCTTTATCCCTAATCCTATTGTACAGATTTGCAAATAAATGATGTATTTAGCCTCCATGGTATAACAATTACAAACCAAGTCATTTCTGTTATGTGAATTCTTCCTGGATAATAAAACCAGATTTCAGATGAAATGAAATAGATCTATACTAACCAATAAGATAGTCACTAGTCATATGTGGCTGTAGAAACTGAAATTAAAACTACAAGTTTAAGTCCTACTTTTGACTAACCATACTTGAAGTACTCAATAGCTATATGAGACTAGTGGCTCCCATGGAGAATTGTTCATCATCAAGGAAACTTTGTATTGGGCAGGGAAGTAAATGGTGAAAGTGGTCAATCTAACACTCTCGTTCACTGAGGTACCTGGCATGATGATTGATGGATACAGCCTACTGAAGGACACATAAACTGGAGAGCAGTTAGTTATTTCATCCTGTATTCCTGCAGCAGACATTTATTACATGCCCACGGTGCATCAGAACCTTCGAGGCAGAGAAACCCAGTTAGGAAAACTGAGCCACTCAGTGTTATTCAAGGAACAGAATATTTGTTAAAATATATGTGATGTTTGTGGAGCACAATAAAAGAATAGAGAGATCACTGAGCCTGAAATTACTCTGAGGAAGAAGAGAAAATGGAGGAAGGACAGGGAAGATGAGTAGTAAGAAAGTAGAAATAAGCCTGGTCTTTTCTGAACTTTTCCAGCAGGGGAAAAAATAAAAGCGTGCATGCACACTGTTTCTTCTCATTTTTCCAAATTAGATATGTGTGGAATTTTATCTTCATCCAGGATTCGTGATTTTGTCTCTTTAGCTGTGGTTGTTCTGAATTAATTTCATGTGGGGAAATAGAAATCTATATAGTGATTTTTCTAGTGTTATTTAAAGCATTATTATGAGAGTTCATCTTTTAAATTTTACTTTTAGGGAATAGAACTTTAAAAGCCCCACAAATTTGGAGGAAAGATAAAAATTTTATAGCAACGTCACACAAATAACATAATCTTTCTTGTTGGGTTTCAGGTCTATTCTCAGTGTTAGTATCGTCTACTCTGAGTTCCCTCTAAGGATTGACAGATTATAAAAGGTACCAGGGCCCATGGTAAACTGTTAAGTTATAAACCTTGGTTTTATTTTCAAAGTCAAGAAAAAAGTTCAGGGAATAAAAAGTGATAGCCATAGAGAGAGAGAAAATCAGTAACCACGTAATTCAGGATTATATAACCTTTTATGTTAATAAGTCTATCATTAAGTAAATAGAATTTTATATAAGTAACTATAACATTTTACATAAACTAAGAAGTTCTAATGAAAGTTAATGGATTGATTTTTTTTCTTTTCCTCAAGTATTTATGAAGTATTTATGCAAAGCATTATACCCTGGGAAATACAATGATTATGACATATTTACTGCCCTCCAGGGCCAATAGTTCAGGTGGACAAAACACACAAAGGATCCGTTCTTCATTCAGCAGATATAAGTATGAAGACCATGTCGGGCATTGTGCTAGTTACTGATGATGCATCTGTGACTCACATAGTCAATTATCAGCACTATAGTGAGACCTGACGTGCAGTAGGCTGACAGAGGCAGAAGAAAGTAATTACAGCTATGATCACCTGAGAACATCTCATAGTGGATTTTAGACGAAAGCATGACCTTGAATGATAAGTAGAATAAGCTAATATGCTAAGCAGTCTGCAAGCCATTTATTCCTATTTAAAGTAAAAGACTAATAAATGTTGTGATAGACATTAAGTGCATAGAGACATTAAATGCAGATAAATGTAAGTGTAGCAATATGTAGACATTAAATGCATGTATATACCTATATGTACACTTACTTGTATGCATAGATAGCAGCCTTTATTTTGTTTTCCTGTTGGCATTGGACTTTTAAGTATATACTTACTCTACAAACAGATGGTTATGATTTCTTGAGAAATTCCACAGAATACAACAAAGGTTAGAAAAATGCAGTAAATATAACTGCCTTTAAGTTTGATAAAAGGTTCAACCTTAAGAGTTGCATCCCACATCCTTTTAAATTCACAGATGAATTCTTTTCCCCCTACAAATTCTAAAACATGATACATTTGGCTGAGATGCTGGAAAATTGTTACATGCCTGTGTAGCATTCTTATAACCTAATCGTTCCTCAACTTTTCTTGCAGTTTAATCATTGGAGAATGTTCTTTGTTTTCGTAGTCACTGTTTCACATAGTAACAGCTTGTTGTATTTTGGTCTGTTTGCCAGAGGGTAGGTTTATTTTTAAAACCCTGAACTCTGAATTTTTCTTTATTTTTCCAAGATTGAAAGCAGCTGAAATGCCTGGAGTTACAGGTTGAAGGCTGCTTTTACAATATGTGGAGGGAAGCTTCTTTCCCTCCTCCCTTTGTGTGTGTGTGTGTTTTAATTTTTTCCCTAACAAATGTCTTCTAACTGGCAGTTGTCTAAAAATAGAAAACTGCTTAACTAAAAATAGCCTGGCTCTCAGTCGTGCCAAGGAAAATGGAGAGGAATAGGCGTGGAAGAGAAGGCTGAGTAATCCAGTTCTATTCATTCAGAGAAACCTTTGAGAATGCGGGCGATGATAAAGTGGCCTCCAAAAACCACAGGCCTGACTCTCTCTTCAGACTTCTAGGTGCCAATAAACATTTTAGCCCCAGGATACTTTTTTCCCCCCTCATAGGTTGTAAACATTTTCTGAAAGACAAGGCTTTGTTTCACAGAATGTGACAAATTGCCATAACTAACTTTTGTAAGGTCCTAAAAATTCATAATTGTAAGATGCATTTTAAAAGAGCATCAGAAATGAAAGTGCTGTAAATTAATGTACATGATGTAATAATTAAGAGAAAACTATTGGAATAAAAAACCCTCTTACTGCTCCCAAACTCAAAACTTTAAAAGAGTTTCACAGAAAGAAAATTATTCCTGTGATTCACCGTAGCTGGAGAACAGCTGACTCATTCTAGCTTAGTTCCCTTTGACATGAAATGCTGCTGCTGACAGTACATCCCCTTGATAAACCAATATTATTCTCTTTCTTAGCATTATAATTTTCACCCAAGTAGATTTTTACTTCCAATTTTTTTTAATGAACTAGAAATTACTTTGAAAAAATAACATTTTGAGAGTAGGGTGGCTTTTAGTTTCAGGAAATGGAATTCTGAGTAACCCATAAAAATATTTTTAAAAAATAGACTGGGTTTTGCAATGGTAATGCTCCCCCCTCCTCATTTTGTTTTGCTTAACTAATCTGAATAACCAGGTCAAACATAGCAACAGGGTATGGAACTGTCAGTACAGTTCATGGGGTTATATGGGTCTGAGCATTGTTATGTTCAGTTCCTGTAATGCTGCTGGTGATAAGACTCTTGAGACAAAGGACGATAATTGATGAAAAGAGGCTTAAATCATTGCTAGAAGAATCAAAGTCCTTGTATCTGTGTACATCGACTCTTCTGGGCTCCTTCCGTCTTGTAAAGCATTTTGTCGTCTTGCATGTTGGCCCCCTACTGCTCTTTGTAATGGATGCAGACCACAAGTGATTCCTTTATGCAGCATACAGGGTGTAATTGTGTCTGTGTGGTGTATTAGTAATTACCAAGCTGAATTCCCATATTGTATCTTTACTGCAGGCATGGAAAAATAGGACATACAATCCTGCATAACCATTTTCAACCTAGATAGTGAGCCACTTAGAGCTCTATTCCAGGGACAAAGCCTTTCATATGCACACTTTTTAAACAAAATTTTCATTGTTGAGTCATTTCTGCTATGCAGGATAAATTCGGTTTTGTGAAACTATTATCTTTGATGTTATATTATTCAATTTTGACTCTTCAGCAAAATCTTTGTAATGTGAAAAATACTGGCTCTTTTTAATTGCTGAAATAAAAGATTTAATATTGCTAGAATATAATAGTGATAGGTGCTATAGTAACTCTGCTAGACTATAATATGGAAAGAACAGTTCATGAATTATATCACAATTTGTAACATTCATGAACATTAAATATTACTTTAGTAGCATTTTCACCTTAAATTTTTACTTTCAGATATAATGAATTAATCTTGGCTCAAGCATGATTCAACTAAAGAAAAAGCTGTTGACAAATTTTTGTTACAGTAAACAGATATAAATTAATTATTAATTCCTTTGCTATAAAATTTGTATTCATCCTTTATGTATTATGTAGCTGATATTGATTTGACTTCCTCCTAAGCTTTGGGTATTATTGTTCACAATATTATCTATCTACCATAAAGTCAAAATAAGGCAAGTGGATTGGCTTAAACAAGAGAAAGTATAATGACTTTTTGCTCAAATGTTAAAATGACAGTTAAAAACCATCAAATAGAATAGAAAGAAATCAATATGGTTATTTCATTAGTGATAATCAATGCAACTAGATTTATTTGTAAATTATTGATGCATACAAAATTCTAACTGTATTTTTACCTTCAAATCTAAAAGTGGTCTTCCAATTTTTTAAATTTATTTTTACTTTTACTGTATATGTTTTTATTCAGGCAATGATTAGATTCCTAGGATGCACAGAATTCCATAGTGGTGCTAGAAGAGAGAGATGTTTGGAAGACATGGTCTGTGACCTCATAAAAATCAGTGTAGCTAAGGTAAAAACTACCCATGGGAGTCACAATATAACTGAGATACTTGGTAGAGGCAGCATGGCATGGTGTCAGGGGGCATTGGTTCTAGGGATAAATTGCTGGAGTTCTTAGCCTATTTCCACAGCTTGACTAGCTGTACATCCTGGGCAACTTACTTAAACTCTCTGTGTCTTAATTTCCTCATTTGCAAATGATGCCTAATAATAGTACCCAGTACATAGTCACTGTAAAAATTAAATAAACGAATATTTGTAAATCACTTGGAACAGAGCCTGCACATAGTAAGGTTTACCATGGTGGTAACAACAACAACAAAAAAAGATAATGATGATGTTCATGATGACACATGTAATCAAGTAATAATAATTGCTAGGAAGCTAAATATTTTAAAACTCAGAAAAAGGCAGCCATTACTGTCATTTTTTAGGCTCAAAAAAGTCAAGATCAGAAAAGTGGGTACGGACTAATGAAAAGATGTGGCAGACCTTTCAAAAGACCAGTTATGCAAAGTCTCAAGAAAAAAGGGAATAAAGTCATGAAAAATATTAGTTTTATAGGAATAGAGTGTTCACATACAGGAAGAGACAGAAGGTAAAGCAAATGGGAACAAGGAGACAGGTAAATCAGGAGCTTGAAATGTTTGGTGTGGAATTAGATACAATAAAATAGATATGAGAAAGGTAACATATCTCAAGCAGAATGTAATAATGACAACCAACTCTTGAGGGATGTTCTATTGGAAAATATAACTATCTCTAGAAGCAGTGCAATTCAAAAGTGGAAGTGCCAAAATATTTTAATTTTGAGTAGTATATGCTAGAAAACCTAAAACCTTTCACTAGTATATTTTAAGCTATTTAGATCATCCTGTAAATATCTATGCTTACAATGTCCAACAAATTAATTTTGAAATAGGCATATAACTTCAGTTTACACTAATAATGTACACATCATTTCTCTGAGGACTATTTATCACCAGTTATAGAGACCACAGGCAGTATATTTTAAACTCTCCAGATAAAGTTAAAGAAGAAATCAAAAACAATAAATTTGAAAGTTCTCAGTATAATACGTGCATTCTTAATGAACACTTGAACAGATCAGGATTATGGGTGTAGTTTATACTGCAAAATATAAAACCATTTAAACTTTTCTGTGTATAGTAGAAAGTCTGCTTTAACATGTAAAGAAAGCCCAGCTTGCTGGATGCTGTGGCACACACCTGTAATCCCAGCAGCTCGGGAGGCTGAAACAGGAGGATCTCAAGTTCAAAGCCAGCCTCAGCAATGGGGAGGCACTAAGCAACTCAGTGAGACCCTGTGTCAAAATAAAATACAAAATGGGGCTCAGTGGTGGAGTACACCTGAGTTCAATCCCTGTACCAAAAAAGAAAAGAAAGTCCAGCTTTATTATGTAAGACAATGTGGTATGGGAGATGAGCAGAGGTGAGTTTGGGAGTCAGACACACCTGGATTCTACCACTTTAATAAACTCTGATCTTGGGCAAATTTGTTAACCTTCACTGAAGTGATTAAATAGAGATAGTAAGCCTCTCATTTGGCCTTTTTTTGTGTGTGTAAGAATTAAGCTTTTACTGTGATTTACACATACAAACACATACCTTTTGGACACCAAAAAC